GCGTATATAAAATATCCTTTTCATCCGCTGATGAAAACATCGATCAACAATGATGTACCGATTAAGTGACGATTTAATTATCGAGTATTTGTAGGAAAGGTTGCAACTGCTAAACTTCGAGTTCTTCAATATTGTATCTTTACATGATAATAATGTCGCCTTCCATTGTTATCACTGTTATCAACGACTATTTATAAACAGGAAAATTTCACTTATATCGTACATCAAAAGATATAAAAAAAACGAAATTTTTCAAGTTCGGCATTTACAGCATTTCCCAAAAGAAACATCGCAATATGTACAATTTATAAAGAGAATGTACGAAGACAATAAAAAAATTAAATTTTCCAATTCTAACATTTACAATGTTTCCCAAAAGAAAAAACTTTAGTTACGTAAGACTTGCAAAAGGAATGTAGGTTACAAAGGACGAAATAAAAAACTTTCGATCGATTCTATAATATTGTATGGTCCCCTATACGATCGCCATTGAGAAATATTTTATTTTTCATTTTTAATCGCGGCTCATCGAATACTCAACCGATGACGCTGTCACTTTCTCCTTCGCAACTATTTTTCACTTTCAGCAGTGCGCGCACGTTCGGCTCGCAATAGAGAGCATTTCGCCGGCGTCGTTAATCATCGATTTATTCGGCTAAACACGAACCGATTTGCAACGGAGATTACCGTCGATCACGATCATTCGCGATCACTCCACTTAAAGAGAAAATTACCGCTTTATCTCGCGGCGAAGATTATCCCCAACATCTATTCTTTTATTAATAATCGTTTGTTATCGAACCGATCGACATTCGTCGACGGGTTAATTTAATTTTTTCATACTTAAACGTAACCGCGAGTTATCGTCAATTTTTTGTCTATCTTAACTACATTCTTCTAAAATTTTCCGTTATTTTATACACTTCTTATAAAGTTCCTTTCCCTTGTGTACATTCATTTTTATAAAATCCTATATATTTTTATTATTTACGTCATTAGACTACACTTATTACTTTTCCACTCCAACCGAAGAAAACAAACATTCCGAACTCGATCTGAAACTAACGTGTTTAACTTGCCTTATGATTTATTTCTCAACTGTGATCAATATAATAACTTTGCCATTAATAATCTAGTGAAAAAAAGAGAAAATTATTGCATATTCTCTGTCCACCTTTGCTCCGAAATATAACAAATAATAACGGAGACAAGATATTTCATTCGAATTCACAAGACTCGAGTAACATTCATTTTTGCTGAATTCTGTTTAAAATCTTCATCGCGAGTCTCGCACGTTATTGCCAGCCGCGTCGGTTAATCAAGCAATAAAACACTCGTCGGAGCAAACAAGAAAAGAAAACATGGAGAGTTCTCCGAGTTCCATCATATTAGATTTCATGTGTCCGACAGTGAGTTTCACGCTTTCACTTTCTTTTGTCAGCGTGTGAGGACCGAAGGACGGCCTCGAAAGGGAAAACAGCGGCGTGTACCCTGGTGTAAGAGCGGAGAGGAAAACGGAGCCGAAAATATTCGAAACGTATCTGCCGAGATGATTGCACGACGCCAGGTGGAATTGCCACACGCGCGCTCGAAGTAGGAAGGAAGGGTTGCATTCCGTGGCAAACGCGGCAGAAGGATGCTCGTGACTTGGATTCCTACGCGGGCCGTGCCTCATTTCTTTCGGCTTCGTAACGCGCGGCTTGTGTAACCTGTTACACGCATCGTTTGTGCCGTGAACGGGTCGCGACTCCGTGTTCTTCGGGTTGCAAGCGGCAGACTTCAATGGAGGCTCGGGTAAATGCGAGAAATTTGAATTGCGCGCGATAAGAGGATAAGAGGTGCTTTTTGGCGGAAGCAGGTTTGTTGAAGATCTGAGGAAGACTCGTGATAGTGTACTTCGGTGGTTTGTGTTTTTGGGAGACGAAGATTTGAAATGAGAGTTTGAAGTTGATTACTTCTGGTGGAGGAAGCTTAGATTCGTGGGTGTAACCGAGGTCGAGTGATTTTGACTGATATCTTTAAGTTCTAGGGATTCTAAGTCTTTGGATACCGGGGTCTCTAAATCTTTGGATTCTGGGGATCTGTAAGGTTTTGAGTTTTAGAGACCTCTATGTCTTTGAATATTGAGGTCTCTAAATCTTTGGATTCTGGGAATCCGTAAGTTTTTGAGTTTTGACCTCTATGTCTTTGGATCCTAGGGGTCTGTGTATTCTTGGAACTTAGAATCTCTATATTCTTAACATCTAGGATCTCTAAACCTTTGAGTTCTAGGGATCTTTATGTCTTTGAAACCTAGAATATATCCTTGAAACCTAGGATCTCAAAGTCTTTGAGTTCTAAGGATCTCTATGCCCTTGAAACCTAGAATATATCCTTGAAGCCTAGGATCTCTAAGCCTTTGAGTTCTAAGGATCTCTATGTCCTTGAAACCTAGAATCCTTACATCCTTCAAACCTAGGATCTCAAAGTCCTTGAGTTCTAGGGATCTCTATGTCCTTGAAACCTAGAATATATCCTTGAACCATAGAATCTCTAAGCCTTTGAATTCTAGGGATCTCTGTGTCCGTGAAACCTAGAATCCTTATATCCTTGAATCCTAGGATCTCTAAGCCTTTGAATTCTAAGGATCTCTGTCTTTGGAACCTAGAATCTTAAAGTCCTTGGATTCTAGAGATCCCTAAATTTTTTAATTCTATGTATCCGTAAATCCTTGGATCCTAGAAATCTCTAGGTCCGTGAATCCCAGAATCGTCAAATCTATATTCTATCAATTCTTCGTTGCCATTATCAACCCCAGCTTTCCCCAGTTTCCTTCATCAGCATGCTCCATCCAAACAGTAGCCAAACACCACATTCTTTGTCTTCCGTTTCGGTCAAATTGAGTTCGTCGCAAACTCACCGCGGAAGTCCCGCTTCCCTGCAAAGGCGAGGAACAGAGATTTCACTGAAGTCATCGCGGACGTGTTAATTAGTGCGTTTGTCTCGGTCGCTTTCGCGGTGCAGCGTCACTCCGAGCTTGAGAAGTTTCGACGGAAAGATCATCGAGATAACGATAAAGTGAAAACGCACCTTTCGCAATTATCACCGAAATACTCCTCTCCTCTCCTTTGACTCGCATTTGCATGAAGGCAAGGACAATCCCGGTCGGAAGTCGGTCACCTACGGCGTATGCAAATCCGCCGCGGAAATGACGGTCAGACTGATTTATTCGTGTAAGGAATTCCAAAATTCCTCGGCCAGTCACGTGACAGGTTATTGCCGATTCTGGGTGAATAACTAAATTCCACTGGATCGTTATCTGCTTCCGAAAAACGAATTCCGACGCGATATTCGTGTTACCTGGACCCGGAGAAATAAACTTTCGCACTTTCAACTGTATTTTCGAGGTATTTCCGAAGTTCTCAGGTGCTTCTAAAATTGAAAGAGAATTCGTTTCGATCGCTGAAGACGATTATTGGCCACGTCGTTCCTGATAACCGACCTGGCAGTCGCGGATTCATTATCGACGTTTATCTGTCTCGAGAAACGAATTCGAAAGAAATGCAACAATGTGCCGCCGATAAATTAAATCGGCAGACAACTTGTCCAGATTTATCGTGGATATCTCTACGAACTCGCGATAATGAGTCCACGACGACAGGTACGAATTCAATGAAATTGGAACACTTGTCCTGAATGTACATCTAATTATCAACGATCAGGATATACCAAATGCGTCGATGTTACTAAAAATTGCGTTCTTTTATTTTAGTCGTTCGAATACAGTAAATTTTATAGGAAATGTTTCATTTCAAATATGGTAAATTAACAAAACTATTTGTAAGAATAACTCTAGATTTGGTAATAACAGCATTGTTAATAGAATTTGTAATACAACGAACAAGTACGCCAATTAAATTTAATCTATCTATAGATAATAATTAACTGTCTCGGAAGTCCTATCATAATGGGAGCACGAATTTGCATTGTAACATTTTTAACACCTGATTGTGAAAAAGAGATTCAACGAATAAAGTTGTTACTAGTATTATCATTATCGCCATCATCATCGTCATCATTTACAATGTGAAAGGAGCAGTCCCGGAATTCCCCGCAAACTTGACCTTCCTACCGGAGGATTTCAGAAACGAGTACGAAGTCGATTTGTTAATCGTCCGTGTAAACGACCATGTAAACCGTAATTTGTCACTCGTTGGTCACCGGTCGGAATGAATTACCGTCGCGTCCGAAATCTGCCGATCGATGTTTAATTCAATCCGGGGATCGATCCTACATCGAAGAGAAAAATGACGAAACAAGCACCGTAGGAGAAGACTTTTCACAGGTGAAAGTGTCTTTTCTCTTTTTCTTCGTTTTCAAATGGTAATCGTAAAATGGGACGAGCTCTCGTGGAATATTGATTCGTCTATCATATTACATTTAGCTGGGAAAATATAAATAATAAAAGGTCCATGAAGCTATTTAAAATTGATATTCACGATGGAAATGTTGCGTAGAAAATGGATATTTTGAAATTTCCGTGTGCATAATATTTGAGGTAAGTACTCGTAAGAATAGTGCGTGCACGTTTCATTAAAATCGAGCGATGCACGTCTAAGATGTGAATTTCTATTAGAAATATATCGATTTTAAGATTTAAAATTACAAATCTCACATTAGAAATTTAATATGTAAAATATAATATTTAAAATTTTAAGTTTAGAATTCCGAAACTTCTGAACTCCATAAATACGAAAGCTCGAGAGACAATTTGCATTTTTTCTCGATTAAAAGCATCGAACGAGCATGTATATGGAAAAGCAAGATTACAACATGGAAAGATACACCGGCGAGGACATTAATTATTTTCTAATGCGTTCCGATTGGAAAATAATTAACGACGAGCAATCGTCTTCCGATTGCGGCAACCTGATTGCCACAGCCACCGAAAAATTGAGAAATCCCGATTGATAGAATTCAATCGTTGGTTGTATATCTAATCGATCGCTCGCTAATGATAGATAAGACACCGTTCGGAATGACAGCACGACCGTTTAGTCTGCGTGGATCTCTAGTTCCGGCGACAATGACGGGTTTCACGGCGTGTCTTCTCGCGGCGATTTGCCTCGTGTCTGGGACACTCGGTAAGCGACAACTGTTGTTGTAAAGGAATTTTGTAACGTACATTTTCTTGTGTAAACGGGTCAAATTTGACAGTTAAATATATATAACATGGTATTTCAAATTTGATGGTATAATAGGACTACCCAGCACTGAAATTGTCTTTTAGCAACTTCTCTATAGAAGCTTCAAGAGTGCATCTATCGAGACTTTAATTGATTCACGATTCAATTTTCATATTGCCAAATCAATTTATTTAATAACTCCCAGAGTCTGCTATTTTTTTAGTAATCGCGAGAAGAAGAAATCTGGAATGGATCATTTTGACCCGTTCGGTAGTTCTAGTGTTAATATATAGTATATAGCACTTAAAATTTTATAGTTTAGTATATAGTACATCGTATTTTCATTTTCATGGTTAAATATCTACAATATGGTAGTAATATCTGATTCTCAACTTACAAAGTTTGAAATATTTTCGTAAAATGTAGACCAGAGATAGAAAGAAAAATGATTTAACTGGGTTCAATGTATACTATGAAAGTAAGTCGTTTATAGAACTTTTACAAAATAGGTAATGGATCACTAATAAATATCATAAAATATAAACTCACAGTATTCTGAATTAAAGAAGCAAAAGATAATAATTTAGATTTTAAACGATAAACAGTGTTAACTACCGTGACATCATAAGTTATTCAATTTCTTTTGAGGCAATTACACGCGGTTCAATAATGAAGATTGGGGGGCGGGGGGGGTGACCCAGTTCGAAGCCATTTTGTAGAAAATTTCACAAAGAGTTCGCAAGCGTTATCTGTCATTAGACGCGAAAGAATTTCTCGTATCCCATTTACACATTCTACTATCTTAAAACTGGGCAAATATACCTAGGCGGCAAATACACGCGTCGTTTAAGCTACTCGTCTTCGGCGCGTTGACTTTCGTTTAAACTTCGATCGTATATCATTTGTTAACGACGGCACTGAGTCGACCGCAAACATTTAGAATCATCGACGTTCTACAATTCTAAATTCAGTTAATTTTCGGTGAAAGTAGCTGTGATCCTACAATTAAACACACTTCCAACAGAAATTAATCCGTTCAACGGTTTCGTAATAATTGAACTGAACAATAAGATTCTTAGATATTACTAATGATACAAAAATAGAACGATAAAGATTGATAAGAGCGGTGATAGTATTACATCACTTTCATTATTTCAATTACTTGATATTAACCAAGGATATTATTAAAACTAATCCAGATCAAAATTAATTAATAAAGACACTATAAGAAGTATTTCTTTACTCTCAAATCGCATATATACAATTGTACTTTCTCATGTTTTCCTTGTGTTCCTCGCGTTAATCAATCATATTTTTCTTTTCCGTACACTCAGAAGTCTCATTTCTTCAATTCTAACATATGTTACTTATAGACGCGGTTTATTTATAATTGTTTAATTTAATTTGTTTGTTTTATATTACTATTTCTCAACAGCGAGAAAAGGGTTCGGTCCTGGCGAACAAGAATGGGGATACGTGCAAGTGCGGCCGAACGCGAACATGTTCTGGTGGCTTTACTACACCTCGGCGAATGTTTCCTCGTATTACGATAAACCGTTGATCATCTGGCTGCAAGGCGGTCCGGGCGCGTCTTCCACTTCCTACGGGAACTTCGAGGAACTCGGACCCCTCGACCTAGACTTGAAACCGAGAAATTACACTTGGGTATGAACATAATCTCGAAACAAAATCTTCAACACGTTCCGTGCCACGGAAACTTCGGTTATATTTTGCTTATGAACTATATTGATTTTCTCAACAAAATAATAAGTTATATTCAAGTTTCTGATAATTTTTATGTACTTTCGTATTGTTTCTTTATGCTTTCACTGCTTTGTAACGTATACAGCTATCCGTGACTATGTATCTCTTAAAAATATTTTCTTACAAAAGTTGGCGTGTACCATATGTGGTACACGTGGCAGTGAACGTGTTAATATATGATCCAATTATCGCATATTAAGACTATCATTATATGATTGGCGATAGTGAATCTTAACACTAAGACTCCCGTCGAAATGGCGGACATTGGTTTTCTTATTTTGCAATTATGGATATTTTAGGAGTATCAAATATATTTTGAAAATAAATAGCTCCATTTAAATACTACAACGGATATCTGAAGAAGAAAAAGATTAATCGTTACAAGCTTTGTAAAGAGTACATATAGATCGTACGCAATGCTCTAATATTAATAATTTGATCCTAGATCTTAATAGTCTACAAAATCGATGTGATAGATTCCAGTTTCTGTAAATTAATCTATAAAAATCGGTCTATAAACAGGTAAAAGACTACAATGTCCTCTTCATCGACAACCCGGTCGGCACAGGCTTCAGCTACACCACGTCGTCGACCGCCTACGCGACGACCAACGCACAAATCGCCAGCGACCTTGTAGAATGCATGAGAGGCTTCCTGAAAAAGTTGCCGAAATTCGCGAATGTCTCCACTTACATCACGACTGAATCTTACGGGGGCAAAATGGGCGCGGAGTTCGCTCTCGCTTGGTACAAGGTAGCAAACGAGAAATATGATAACGAAATGCGAATCTGTATTAACGCTAGATTTACGAGACCCGTTAATTTAACGTATATTCAGTTTCATAAACATTATTTGCTAATAATGATGATGTTATTTAGTAATATCTTGATTCTCCATTTTTAAAGGTTCGATTTTCAAAATCGATATGAACAGTACACCTATTTTTCTAGGTACGATGTAATAAGGTGTACAATAAGTGACGCGAATGCAGTGTTAAATAACAATGAACGATTTTTATTTCGGTTAGCTCAATTATTAATGCCGTGTCCCTTTCGTTGAAAATGCAGGCGCAACAAGCTGGAACCATCAAGAGCAAGTTGAAAGGTGTCGCTCTGGGCGACGCTTGGATCTCACCGATCGACTCAGTGTTGACTTGGGGGCCATTTTTATATCAAACGGTAAAAGATATAGTGTGATTCAGATGCTAATTATCGTTTTATATATATTCTCAGTCTCTAGTTCAATGATAAGAGAAAATTGTCTTGTAGGGGATGGTTGATAAAAACGGCCTCTCTGAAATTGACAGAGCAGCGCGTGCAACGCAGGATGCGGTGAGAACCGGCAAGTGGAGGGCAGCCACAAATCTGTGGAGCTACACCGAGGGTGTGATTGTGAAAGTCACCCATAATATCAATTTCTATAACATTTTGACGAAGACGAATTACATGTACGGAAAGAATTGGTTCCTGTCGAACCCTATGCTCAAGAGAGGTGACGAAGTTCATTAAATTAACTAGATTAACTGGATAGATGAGATTAAATGGACTAGATGAACTAAAGAGATGAAATATATCATATTGACATTAGTTTTCTAAAATCCGTTAATTTGACAAATATTACATTACGAACATTATTAGGTCAGAGTTTGTAAATAATATATAATTAATTTTTATACATATCAAAGGTTTATATGTTATAGACGACGGGGTAAGCGTCTATGACGCCTCTCTGACCAATCTAATGAACGGCCCAGTGAAAAGGGCGCTCAATCTGTCCGTGAATCATGGCGTCCAGTCCAATACAGTGTTCAGCAAGTTGCAGGAGGACTTCATGAAACCTGTTGTCGACAAAGGTAATTACCTAACCATACAGAATGCAATATTTTCATTTGGAGAAAGAATAAATATGAATATATGCTTCCTCGCAGTGGAACTGTTGCTGAATCAAACGGATTTGAAGGTGATCGTGCTTACCGGACAACTGGATCTTATCGTGGACACTCCAGGTACGCGTGATTGTTATTCATCCGACGCGTTAAAAAATAAGAGGAAAAATTCAACTCATTGAATCTTCTTCCATTCCTTTCTAAAATTGTTTCAATAACTTAATCTGTTGGTTTAGAATTCATGATTGAAGTTTCACTTTGTTTTCTTACCGCGGAAGCCTCGTCTCTCTCGCATTCTTCATCTTTGTAATCGCGATTAATTGAACAGTTGCCGGTTGAACGCCCACTGTTTTGTTATTTAATCACTTTTTACCTACGCGACGACGATAGTTTTCTACCGCTTTCAAGTGACCACCATTTTCTATTGATACAACGTTTCAGGCACTTTTGACTGGGTCGACAAGATGCAGTGGAAAGGCCGGCGCGAGTGGCGTCTAACCGATCGAGTGCCTTTGACCGCGCAGAACGTGATCGAGGGGTACGCGACGTCTTACGGGAACTTAGCTATGTATTGGGTCAACAGAGCTGGACATATGGTAATTAACAATTCACCTGTGTATTCGTGTTTCGTTGATTCAACGCGCGGACTTTCGACCCCGACAAAATGGCGGCTCCCAGGTTTCTCTTGGCGCGATTGCCGGTTATCGAATCGATTTATTTATTTCTACACCGCCGTTTTTCATCTATCACGACGTTTTATAGGTTCCCAAGGACAATCCGGCCGCAATGGCGCAGATTCTGAAAAGATTCACTGGTTGATGCTTCAGACGGAATACAGCGAAAGACGAACATTAACATAAGATTGTATTTTCAAACCGTTTTTCCGTTGTCTATTAAATAAACTAAAATTTTCTGAGCTTCTCGTTCATCGCTTTGAACAAAAAAAATATACGAATCCTCCGATTTTCCATCGACTTTCTCCTGACTTTCCAACTGTTCGTAGAACCTTTGATAACTATCGCTACGCGATCATCCCCTAAATGGATAACGATGAATATTGAACAATTCCAACATCAATTTGGAAAATATTCTAATTGCACTAGAAATAAATTGCAAAGAAATTCGAGTCGATCGTGTGCCCTGTTAATTTCACGGGTCGAAAGGAACGCGCGGTCCTCGTTGTTTCCGAGAAACGAGCCGTTTTACGAGGACGATCGGTTTATTTTGCACGGTCGGTCGATCCGCGAGAAAGCAATGGCGGCAGGAATGGTTTACCCTTGGCGGCGGGGCGCGCGGCGAATTTTCCCACACTCGTAAAACACCGTAGAAGCAACAATCCGAAAAACCGTGGCCCGCAGACGGCCGCCGATTTTGTCAATAAGGGACGATTGTTTAGATTCGGCCGGATACGAGGCAGTAAAACGAAACGATCCGCAAACAGGACCGCCTGCTCTCGGTCTCGCGGGGCGTCTCGGCGAAGAGCGAAAGGCTTCTGCGGTCGCCTCGTAAAACGAAACGCAGAAAACCTACTTCGTGATGACGAGGAATAAAAAGAGAACATCGGGACGCATTTTCATTATATTTCCGAAACGTTTAACTCCCAACTGAGACCCTACAGATTTTCTGTTACTGTATTATTTTGTTTAATATATCCTCATCATCGCTTCATCTCTCGAATGATCTCACTAAATCGTTCTAATAGAAATTTCTATTAAATTAAATTCTATCAAATTAGATAGAGTGCAAAGGTATACCGGGTTGTTAAGGGTGAAACGACCGCTCACCGTTTTAAGCAAGCTTTTCTCCACGGTTAATTGCCTTTTCGTTCGAAAGTAAAATAAAAACTATTGCCACAATCACATTGATTCGATTTTAGTATAGAACATTACAAAATATTCGTGAATAATTGCGTTTAACCCAAAGGAAGTGTTATCCAAAGGAAGCATTCCGAGATGAAACAGACTTTCTAACTTAGAAGAAAATTATTTTTACCATCTGTCCGACCTTCTGTACATGTTTTTCTTGGTTGCTCCGCGGTCGAGTGATTTAAGGAACGCGAAACAGGAGCGCAGGATACACGCGTGGAAGACAATTCCGTCTGTTTTCGAAGAGCGCTCCGGGAGGACTAATATAAGTGGCGTCGTCTAAATACGCGGTCGTCGCGCTAATCCTCCGGTTCCTTCCGCCGGCAAATCCAGAATGATTTGTTTCCCGGTATTTCAAGATGACGCTTGCCCCCGAACGACACCAGTAGAAACGGCGCGTAAACAAACAATCGTTCCTTCCTTCGACCTCTTCATCCCCCATCCTGTTCCCAGTATCAAATGCTTGGAATACTGCTTCATTTTCGTTCTTTAGACAAAAGTCAACATTTTCAAACGTACAATCTTGAGCAATGTATTTCATGAAAGAATCACACTAATTCTTCAATTGTCCCATTGAAATCATACTGATATTCAAAAAGCGATTCTTCGATCACTCGCCGTAACGTTCCACGATCTTAGAAAGTTAAATTTCGACGTGCCATCGCTCCTCATGACTTAACCCCTTCCCTAACAACACGAATATTATTCAATTCAACTACTAACCAAAAGAAAACGCTATTTTTTCTTTGTAAATGCTTAATCTTTCACAAATTGGCGATTAAACCCTCGCCCTTCAACTGAATTTGACGAATCTAAATGTGATTCGACTCTTTCGAAGCGAAATCAAATACTTTTCTATTATCAATGAGTAATCTACGAATGAAATGTAGATATAGAATAAGCAAATTCTCTCTTTACTACAATCAATTATTAACGCCGAAGCAGTTTCGTCGAGCGCAATTACGAAAGAAATAGTTGCAAATCGATGCAAGGGGGTTGCAGCCGTCCGAACCGTTGATATTCAATTTCCTGTCAACTGTAGGCAATGAAAACTAAATTTCGCCGGTTTTAGGGGAGTCTGGACTGCTAGGGGGTGATTCGAGGTTTCTCGAAAGTATCGGGGGTGCGGACGGACGAGGGGAACGCGGCCCGAAGAGGAAGACAAAAGCGGTTCCGAGAAACGGTACGGTTTCGGTATAATTACCGCAACTTTGTTTACGTATCGGCTCGTTTACTGTCGGCGTGGGTGTTAGGACAGCATATGTGTAAACAGCAATAAAACACGCATCACCGGCCCCGGCTAGGTAACCGCCTCCCTCGCGCGGTAACACGCAAACGGGAGTTCTCCGGAAAACCGGCGATGGGCGGAGCTGGACCGTCCTCCGGATCGTCCGTGTCAAATTAAACACCCTTCGTTAAGGAATTGCTCCGGCTAGCCGCGAATCGCACTCAGAAATCAGTTCTCCGCGCCACCGAGCGCGAACTAGTCCGTGGAAGTTTCGATCTCACCGCTGGGAGCTGTGGAACCTCCCTCGGGAACGAGCAGAATCTTTCTTCAAACGATCCTAGAGTTTTAGAGGATTCAGAGATCCCGTCGCGTAGTTCTTTCGATGCGTGTCGCTTCGAAGTCGGCGGTTCGACCCTTACTTCGGGATTCGAAATGACGGAAAGGAAGGTGTGATGCAGTGTGATGATAGTAACGTTGCACTCCGTAGTTGGTCTCTTGGAAGTCTTTGGATGGAATTTGGGAAATTGTGAAGTGATCCTTGAAGCGCGAGTTTCGAAGCTAATCAGTGCATTCGAGGAAGTAATCGGAGACTTTAGTATGGCAATCCTTGGTAACAAGAAGATGAGAAAGATGTTATTTTCGGAAATCGTCCGGTTGATGTAGTTCTACTGTATTCAGTGGCGGAAATTCAGTAAAGACTGTGATATCCTTCGCTTTAGAGGACGTCTTCTTTGCGGCTGCCTTGTTGGCAACACTATAAGGCCAACAAGTCGTCAAGGGACATGTATAAGAAAGATATAAGCGTCAAAACAATAACCGCATGTTCTGATCATCGCCCAATGGAGCCAACCAGTAGCTGCCAAGATTATCCGTGCAACGTCTCCAAGAGCTACGGTTGCGAGCTGCGAAGAGCGTACGATCTATGGAGCCCAGAAGAGATCTTCCCGACTATGTGTCCGTTGCCAAGCTACTACAGCCTTGTGCCGGACATGCTGAACTCGAGAACATTGCCCTTTTCCTGGAGCCTTCCCCTGATAAGATACAAGCCGCAGCCTCGATACGAGAAACCGCCATATTCTTACATCGCCTTGATAGCGATGGCTATCAATTCCTCGCCCAAGCAGAGGCTCACACTTTCGGGGATCTACAGATTCATCATGGACAGGTTTCCCTATTACAGAGAGAACCGGCAGGGCTGGCAAAACAGCATCAGGCACAACCTTAGCTTGAACGACTGCTTCGTGAAGATACCGAGGGACAAGATCGTCGGAGAGGATAACGACGAGGACCAGGCTGGGAAGGGCAGTTACTGGACCCTGGACCCGTCCGCCAATGAAATGTTTGAACACGGCAATTACAGGAGAAGGAGGATGAGAAAGCAAAGAGGATTCGCGCAGGATAAGCAGGAACAAGACCATGGAACCATTTTGGTAAACGAAGACGATCGATCCGTGAACTTATTTGTTGCTATACGTTTGCTAGTCACGATTTTGATACAGTAGGGATTTGAATGATCTGAATAACTTTGAGTCTTCGGTATCAGATTGCGGAGTGCGAATTTGTGGATTTTAATGTTTAGTTTCTTTTAGAAAGATGTAAACGATCACTGCGGCTATCCCGTGATATAGTATTTTTGGTTCTTCTTCAGGTTTCACCGGAACCGCTTCCTAATTTGAAGAGGCGAGAAGGGAGGAACGAATATAAAATAGTAGAGGCGAAGGATGACGAAGAGGAAGCACAGACCGCGAAAGTGAAATACACAGAAACCCAAGGACACTGCGTAAAATCGATGATGTTCACTATCGAGAATATCTTGCGGAAATCCACACGGGATTCTGCTACCTAGCTGTTCGAGTTCGATGAATCATATTGTCAATGTTCACTCCTTTTTTCGGGGAATCATAGGAATTCGTTTGTCTCCTGGCACTGCTCAATGGGCTCGTAATGTATATTAATGCTTCGGCTATGCAGTTAATTGAAATAAATTAAGAATCTTCTGGTAAGGATGAAACGTGCAGGAAGCATAAATTAAGAAAAGTTACTTTCTGTGACGCCCCGTTCGTTTATTACAAAAATGTTTCTATTTTATACAGTGGACGTTGGTGTATGAAATTTAGAATACAGCTTAACCATTATCCTGAAGTATCATACAGTATGTACAAAATTATAAATTAATTAACGCACGTATAAGGAAGACAATTGTACAGAAGAATTGTTTCAGTGATCTTGTGCTGTGTGTCTAAATGTTAAAAAAGAACGTAGTTCAAATTGTATCTAAGTAAAAACCAGTTCAATC